CAGGCATGCAGGGCAATAACAAAACCATCTGGTTCCCGAGCAGTGACTGATTCAGTGTAGGTCTGAGCTGCGTCCCAGGCTGTATCTCCAGGCAGTTCTGTGTCCTGATTGAGAACCGGAGCCCTGAATTCTCTGTTCCCTGGATGATGGGTGTAAATCCATCCCTGCTGTCTTCCTGTGCCTGCCTGTGACATTGCCCAGGATTATAGTGCCAGTAGTTCCTGAACAGGCTATGCGAGGACCTTTGTATCATTCATACAAAATTCCTATGGGAAGAGTTTCTCCTTTGGAATAAGTAGTCCTACTCTAGTGAGAAGTGGTCCTGCCCCCAGCAGTCCTAAAGGGGAAAGTGTACTGCATGGTCGGGAGGGAACAAATCCTTAGGACAGTGCCTCCTCCTTCAGTATTCAAGTAAAATTTTGGAGAGGCCACTGTGCTTCTGACTAGAGACCCCTCATGGACACTGGATCAGACACAGGCCTTTTCATGGAGCTGCCAGCCACCAGGAGGGCTTAGCAGGTGGTGGTGAAGGCAGGAGGGTGATTCCATGTGGAGAGCTCAGTAGTATGGAAGGAGAGTGTCTGGGCTGAGAGAGGGGGAGTCCTTTGTAGACAAATCAAGCTTGATGCACCTGGGAGACAGCAGAGTGCGATCTCTAGGAATCATCTGAATGTGTGGAACAGCCTGAATGTGAGCTGGAGGTAGGGAATTATGATCCGCATTTAGCATTTTGACCTCACTCTCTTTCTTGAACCTCACTCATCTTTACTTTTTATTATTTTCTCCTGGTTTCCCCACCATTGTCACCCAATCCTGAGACTCCCCCTTTCGTGCTGATGGTCCTTACAGAGCTCAGTGCTGAGGATGGAGGAGAGACCTGGTTGAATCAAGTTTTTGCTTTTATGGAGCTTGTATTATGCTGAGGAAGACATAAATATTTTTTTAAATGAGTGTTTTTTAAAAGATGAATATTTCAGGTAGTAGTAAATACCAAGATGAAGCAGGGTAAAGAGATAAAGAGATTACAGCGGCTTGCTATATTAGAGGGTCCAATCCAGAAGAGCCTTTTTAAAGAGGAAACAATTGAATCATGACCTGACTGAATTGAGGAGGGTGAGGGGCTCTGGCATTGTCATAAGCAGAGGGGACCATGTTTTGTGTGTTCAAGCAACAATGAGGTGTGGCCAGTGTGGTCAAGGTGGAATGAGAAAAAGAATGTAGGACATGAGGACATAGAAGGGCAGTGTCCTATCTTATAGGGCCCTGCAGCGGGCAGGCCATGGGAAGACATTACATTTTTCTTTGTTTGATGGGAAACCTTTGGTGGATATTGAGGAGGGTTGTGAAGTGCTCTTGATTATGGAGGCTGTCCTGGCTGTTTGGGGAGAATGGACTGTAGCTGGGAGTCCAAGTGGAGGCCGAGAAGTCAGTAGGCAATAGCAGTGATCCAGGTGAGAAGTGACAAAATAGAAAGCAGCCTGATGACCAGTGATAGGTGGAGATAACAAGAATCACTAACAGATTGGAGCAGGCTTACTGAATTAGAATTAGTGAAAGTTTACACCAATCCCCAAAACTCAGTGCAGCTAGGCAAATGGCAGTGCCCTTTATGGCATTAGGGAGTGCTTGGGGAGGGGGAGTTGGGACGAAGAGCTCTGGTGTGTATATGTGAAGGCACCGATGGTCTCAGCAATAGTTTAGTAGAGTGATAGCGGCAGGGGGCAGACAGAGTGGGTTAAGGAGACAGTGGGAGATGAGAAGGAGCCTCAGGGCATTTACTGTGAGCAAAATAAGGGGAAGCATTCTTGGGGTAGGGGAGTGGCAGGGAACAGTGTCAACACATTGAGGAAAATCTCTGGCAGACAGGGAAGATTCTTCAAAAAGGGAGAAATGTGGGAGGTGTTCTTCAGAAATGGGATGGGATCGATGTCACTGAGAGAGGAGTCAGCTTCAGTGAGAAGGAAAGTCTCAGGTCCACTGACACAGGAGGGCAAGTGCGTGAATGAGTGAGGATGGCACATACCAAGTCTGCCAGTAAAGGTGTCAGGAAGGTGAGAGATTGCCAGTGTTGTATAAGTGCCTCTAACTAGCCCCATGAAGTACAAAGTTGGACCTTGTAAGCAGGTTCATTATTAGGATATCTGCAAGCGCTGAGTTTGGGGGATTTGTGTAAACTTTCACTAAGAACATATAATGTTCAATAACCATTTGGTTTTAAAAATACAGTTGGGTTTGAAGAACATTGGCAAATCTGAGCTGTTAATCTGATAACCTCAGACAATTAACATACTCTTTAAAATGGGACTTTGTTGGCAAATGGCATACATGCTCTTCTGCAAAGCACCCTTCGAGATAACAACAAATCACCACTTGCCTTTGTAACCTTTACTTAGCTGTTAAGTTTGCCCAGTTCTTTGTAGAATAGACATGTGATACACGGGAAAGAAATCATGAACCCTCACAAGCTCCTGGCAGGTGTAGAGGACCAGGGATGCAGAGATGGCAGCTCTGTTACCATCTGAAACCACCAGCACTGACTAAGCTTCAGACTGTGTAAGACAGAGATAAATTTCATAAAGTGATCCTGGGGATGTCAAGATGAGGGATATAAAAAGGACTCTCCTTTGTGTGCATGTGTGTCTCTTACAAAGGCACTAAGTCCAGGAATACTTGACAGTCAAGACCTGCATCAAGCACAGCCCTTTGTACTGCCTGTCCTGCTGCAGCGCACAGCAGCCACTGGGGGGCCCTCTTGACAACCTGTTTTATCTACTGCTTGTGCTGCATAGGACTAGTTACTGTGTCAAGAAGGTATTTGTGTGCTCAGTATTATCAGGGATTTACATATTCAGGAATTATGTAAAATCACTGTATAACTACTGGCCAGGTATGAAATAGTGCATGTGGTAGGAACTCAGGTATCCTGCGCTTTGCAAGTGGAAAGGTAATGACATTTCTTCAGAGGGTCCTTTGCTATGATGTCCATTCATTCCTGTGACCAAAAATTGGGCTGGAAAGTCACATGGGCAACATAGGCAACAAAGTATCTGATTTGCAACAGTGACTTTGCCTCTGGCTTTGGCTGGCCAAGCAGTCTCTGTAGAACCTAAGAATAGGAGTCAAGTCACAAACAGGTGAAATCTGTCCTTCCTAACAGTTCTTATCACAGCACTTAAACTGAACTGAAATCAAAGACCCGTGTTTTACTTTTGCAGGTTTACTTAGAAAGACTTGTGATTTACGCCAAAATAGACATTGGCCCCACGAACTGGAAACGAGTTGTCTTGGGGGCCATTCTTCTTGCCTCCAAGTATTTGCACGAACTGATTGTACGGAATGTGTTCTTCTGCAGAGTCATGAAGAACATTACCCTTAAGGACCTGTGAGTTTGGAAGGCTTTGGTGAACTTGCTAACATTTTCCAATAGCTGATTTGCTCCCATAAAGATTACATATTAAGAAAAATTTTTAAAGGGTACATTGTGTGGAGTACTGAACTAGGCATAAAATTACATACATTTTTCTGTCCGCATTTTTTATAACAATTAATATTCCTTCTCATTACTTAGTACATCTTCATGTGTTATTGTTGTAATAACCAGTGTGATCATTTTAAATGTATTTCTCTGGTAGTTATTGGCAGGAGTTGTACAAGCTTAGACCCGAGAATCATAGTACTGCAAATATCTTCATGGCTTTCTTAAAGCCATCTACTAGTTCCAGTCCTTTTTTATTCCTCTTTTTCATTATTTATTTATTTATGTATTTTTATTTTTATTATTTATTTATTTATTTTTTATCCTCATCTGAGGAAATTTTCCATCTATTTTTAGACAGAGTGGGAGGGGAGAGAGAGAAAGAAACAATGATGTGAGGGAGACACATCGACTGGTTGCCTCCCCTGCATGACCCCAACTGGGGCTGGGGACTGAACTGTGACCAAGGTATGTGCTCTTGACCGGAATCAAACCCATGACTCTTCAGTCTGTGGGCCAACGCTCTAACCGCTGAGCAAAACCAGCCAGGGCTATTTTTATTTATTTTACTTATTCATTTATTTTAATCCTCACCCAAGGATATTTTTCCATTTATCTTCAGATAGAGTGAGAGGGAGGAAGAGAGAGAGAGAAACATGGATGTGAGAGGGACACATCGACTACTTGCCTCTTGCACAACCCCAACCAGGGTTGGGGATGAACTGCAACCCAGGTACGTGCCTTTGACCAGAATTGAACCCGTGACTCATTGGTCCATGGGCCCACAGTCTACCGCTGAGCCAAACTGGCCAGGGCTGTAGTATAATTTTCTATCTTTGTAGTGTCATTATTTAGTTTTGGAATTAGGATATTCCTGGCCTCTTAAAATAAGCTTGGGAGTCTTCTATCTTCTCAAATATTTTGCAGTAGATTGAGATGGACTGGTGTCAGTACTTCTTGGAATGTTTGGTAAAATTTACCTGTGACATCATTTCCAGGACCTTTGTTTAAAAATGTTTTTTTATAACTTTGATTTTGTTGGTTGTAATTAGTCTGTTCAGATTTTGTTACTTTTTTTTTAATCCTCACCCGAGGACATAGTTTTTGCATTTCTTCAGATAGAGTGGGAGGAGAGAGGGGGGAAGAGAGAGAGAGAGAAACATCAATGTGAGAGAGACACATTGATTGCTTTCCACCCACACGATGCTAACCAGGGCCAGGGACAAACTGCAACCGAGGTACATGCCCTTCACGGGAACTGAACCCAGGACTCTCTGGTCTGCGGGCCAATGCTCTAGCCACTGAGCCAAACCACCAGGGCTCTGATTTTTAATCCAGTTTAGAAAGATTGTATGTTTCTATGAATTTGTCTGTTTCTTCCAGACTGTCTAATTTGTTGGAATATTATTCATATATTTTCTTATATCCTTTCTATTTCTGTGGTGTGAATTGTTCCTACTGCTCTTTCATTTCTGCTTTTAATATATTTGAGTCCTCTCTTTCTTGATGAGTCTGGTTTAAGGCTTATCCATTGTGTTTATTTATCCAAAGAATCAGATCTTAGTTCATTGATCTTTTGTATTATTTCATTTTCTTTGTTTCTGCTTAGGTCTTTATTATTTCATTTTTTCTATTCGCTTTGGGCATTGTTCATTGTTCTTTTTCTCATTCCTTTATTTTATTTATTAATTTTATCCTCACCTGAGGTCATTTCTGCATTTATCTTCAGATAGAGGGGAGGGAGAGAGGGGAGAAGAAAGAGATTAAAACATCAAAGCGAGAGAGACACATTAACTATTTGCCACCCACATGGCCCAACTGGGGCCAAGGACAAACTACAACTGAGGTATGCACTTCTAGCAGGAACCAAACCTGGGACTCTCCAGTCTGCGGGCCAATGCTCCAACCACTGAGCCAAACTGGCCAGGGCCTTTTTCTCATTCCCTTAAGATAAGTTGAAGTCATGTGGGTGGCAACAACTTGATGTGTCCCTCTCACATCCATGTTTTTCTCTCTCACTTCTTCCTTCACTCCCTCCTGCTCTATCTGAAGATAAATGAAAGATTTCTTTGGGTGAGAATAAAAAAATAATAATCATTGTCTGATTTATATTTCTATAGACTTACAGCCATAGGAACAGAACATTCATTTTGGATGTCGGTTCAGTTAGGTTTGAAGTGTAACAAGTGAGAAAACCTCATCTCTGCTCATATTCTGACTGCTCTCCATAGAGGAGAACAGCAAGCTTTTGTCGACCTGTCCAATGGATAAAACATTAAAGCGTTAATACTGAGAAAACAAATACATTAGAAAATAAGCCTCTCTCATGTATGTTCAGGCATTTCATATTTTATTAATTACCTCTAGCAAGGGATGACTGGAAGTAGTGCAATTTACTCCAATTTTATATTATTTAAGAACTTGGCAAGTGACAGGAGTATGGTCACGTAGCAAAGGACTGCTCCCCAATTTCCTTTCCCACTTTATTGAACTCACCCCATGTGAAATGTTCCCTTCTGTTCTGCCAAGGTCAGGGGTGCAGAGCATCACAGGGCTGCAGTCCCAGCGGGGAGAGCACTGTCTGAGGATGTCCAGTGCTCAGTCAGAGGTCATATGGTAAAGTGGTTTAGTCCACCGAGACAGTGATCTGTAGTCTTTCTGCCTTCCACAGTTTAAATATGCATCCAGCTCTGTCATGGTGACGGTTTCTCACCCCAGTAAGATTAAGGTGAACAGAGCCCTGGCCGGTTTGGCTCAGTGGTTAAAGTGTTGGCCTGCGGTCTAGAGATTAAGGTGAACAGAATCGTGCACTGTGCTGTTTGACATTAGTCCCCTGCACTGCGGGACGAGGGGGGGTTTCCCTTATCGAACCTGGCACACTTATTTATTTATTAGAGATGAATCCTTGTTACCTCAGGATTTTTATCTCAGAGATAACAGTGGTGGCTCTCAGTGGATCCACTTGTTGCCGTGGTGATGTGCCCACTCCTTTTGTTGGCACATACCTACTTCTGTAAGCCCCTTTTCTGTTATGGTGAAAATGTCTGCGAGTTCTTCAGAGCTAAGAAGCAGCACATCATTACTTTCATCTGAGCCTTGCCTTGGGGTCTTGTGAGTGAGCGGGGAGCATGATCTGCAGCTGCACCAATGGGACTCTGAAGAATGAGCCCCAGTCAGCAGCACGAGTGCACGGGAGATGTGACTCCCCCTACCCCCTCCTTGTGGTCCCCAAAGCAAAGGGCTGGGATGCAGAAAGGACCACATTAGCTGTCTCTGTTTGTCTGTTTAAAGGTTAGGGTATTAGTACAGCTGGGTAGCTTTTATTTGTTTCAAAACAAATCTTAGAGCCTTCCTAGTAGCTTAGAATGAGAATATGAAGATTGCCAAGTCAACTAAAATTGTCCTGTGCTGGTTTTCTCTTTTTCATCTTCCCCAGGAATGAGTTGGAAAAGCAATATATATATCTACTCCAGTTTAATCTTTATGTCTCTGCCAGTGTCTATGCCAAATACTATTTTGACCTTCGGACCTTAGCAGGTGACCACGGACTGCCTATTGTATTTGCTCCTCTTCGAAAAGAAAGAGCACAGAAGCTGGAGGTGAGGCTGTGGGATCACAAAGTGGGCTTTTCTGCCAGACACCGAAACCACATCTGTGGCTCAGTCATGTTATGTAGTGATTAGGGAAATGCAAAGCTCTTTAACACATTGAAGAAAGCTTATTAACTCTCTCCATCGTATTTCTGGTATCTTTTATGGTTTATATAAGAACCCCACATGTTGTGACCATGATTCAGAATATTTTAATTAAAATTTAATCTTTGATGGTTTTTTTAACTCTGTTTTTTTTTCCTAACCATAGATGAATGATTTCTTACAAATGTATCACTAATGATATCTACAAACATAATCTACTTACTTTTCCTAACCCAGTTTGTAAATTCATGTCTTTTCTGTATATATCACAGTTCAGTCCCCTAAGTTTATTAGACAAAGCTCACCTGAGAGACCTATACTTAGATTGTGTGATACGTGTTCCAAATACCTGGTGTAGAAAGTACATGTTTTTAATGAAAATTGTCATGGAACAAAGTAATATTTATGGCTTCTGACTTTTGGTGAGTGTACAACAAAATTATTCACAACTGAAATGGACATTTTTAAAATGGACACTTTCTGTGGTACTTTGATGGTACTTTAGAATAAGATGTGTTTGTACCTTAATTAACATGCAAGTGAAATAGTACCTCATGGTGGGTGCTTCCATCATTAGACCTTTCCTACCATTCAATAAAGTCTAACACATGCCTGCCTCCTTAAAATGTGTGTAGTGTATGTAATAACTAATAAACATTGGATGGAATTTCAATAGCTGAGTAAACACTGATTCTGCCCAAGTGCATGTTTATTATATTTAAGGAACCAAGTGTACAGGCAACAGAGGATGTTGTTGTTAGGGGCCTGTCATGCCTTTGAAACTGTTGACAAAACCCAAACTTCAAAAAATTCTGAGTTCCCCTTTGCTCTGGCAATCTGATCATAGTCCCTGAAAGAGTTACCTTAGTCATTCAGCATGAAGTAGAATCCCAAGGCCCTAGTAGTGTAGCCCACAGCTCTCCCAAGGGGCAGTACCTATGCTCTATGTCCAGAGGTGGGGCCAGGGCTTCTCAGTGATGCTGTCTGTGTTAAGGCTGGAAGTCTCTCATTTATAACATACACATGCTCTATTTGATTTCTTCTCCTAGGCCATTTCCAGATATTGCAAAAACCCAAACCTGTGCAGGGTGGCCATAAAAAAAATTTAGCAGCTGTGATAATTTTACTGATATGCAGCATGCCAATGCCATCTTATCTTAAAGGAGAAATGTGCCACAATGAGACTCATCTATGACTGGAGAAATATCACCGCTCCTGCTCAAAACCCAGCTAAGTTATTTCCTTTTAAGGGAGAAATCAGGGGTATTAGCATGATTAGCTTCTCGTCAACAAAAGCAAGGACTGTTGAAATATAATTTTATCTATTCCAGCAAGTTTAATAGTTCCTCTTAAAAAAGAAATGAAAGTTGTTAAACATCATGAGGAACTTTTCTAGCCTAAGCTTAATTCATAAGCCTTGGTTTTTCATTTCCCTTTTGATTATTTTAATTACTAGAGGGAATTACATGTGTTTATTTTTGCTTTTATTTTTGGATAAAAAGAAAAGGTATTTCTTAAACTTTTAAAAAAGTTCTAGTTAACTTCCTACCTGACATTCTGTTTTGAGCTTTGGTACTCTCATTTAGAAAGTTTAAGTTACCTATTCCTATATACTGTAGTTTCAGATGCTTTAATGTTTACCTCAATACTGGGGAAAAATGGTTTTTTTTTTGATGTTAGAAAATTTCTTAAATACTTTTTATTGCTTCCTAGAGCAAAAGGGGTACTTTTTTTTCATTATGCATTGTTTCCTTTTCTCCTGAACTTTTTGGACAGTGTTACTGTATATGAATTATTTAAAGTAATTTTAACCCTGGCCGGTTTGGCTCAGCATTACTGCATCAGTCTATGGAACAAAGGGCCCCAGGTTCAATTTCTGTCAGGGTCACCTACCTTTGTTTCAGTTCAATCCCCAGCCCTGGTTGGGGTCATGCAAGAGGCAAGCAATGGATGTGTCTCTCTCACATCAATATTTCTCTCTCTCTCTTTTTTCTTCCACTCTATATAAAAATGGAAAAATATCCTAGAGTGAGTATTAAAAATAATAATTAAAAAAATAAAATAATTTTAATTATGAATTTTAATTACAGTTTTTCAGACATTGAAGATTTCTTTTTTTTAATTGATGTTATAAAAAGAAAGAGAGAGAAAGAGGGAAACATCTATCGGTTATGTTTCATCTCCCATAGGGGCCCTGAGACCTTGTATCAAAACTAAAACCTGGGTATGTGCCTTCACTGGGAACAGAACCCATGACCCTTGTGTGTATTGGGAGATGCTCCAAGCAACTAAGCCACCCAGCCAGAGAGAAGATTTCTATTTTAAAAAATTAAATAATGACTATTCTCGTTATAAAAATCTTATATTCTCTGAAAAGTCTTTGAAAATTTTTATGTAGTTGGCCTAAGAACTTCCAGAATATGACCTGGTAAAATGGAGATTTCTGGTGGTGCACAAGCTACATAAAAAGACTTGCTGTTCTGTTTTTCTTTTCAGGAATTATCTTGCTAGCAGGTGGATTTTGGTAGTTGGTAGGTCCGAGTTCTTATATAGAATAAGTGACTTATTCTACCTATAATGCATTCCATTAACTCTCATGTCTAGAAATTGTTTTTAAAGAAATAAGACAACTGAATTCTAGAAAGTAAATTTGGATTGACTGTGATATACACCTTGCTTTTCCTATAGGACCATTTATGACACACCGTTGCCTCCTTGAACTAAAATGTGTCTGTGTTGTCAGTGTTTTCTCTGTTACCTCTGCAGTTACAGTGGCACATCCTGATAGCACTTTCCCAAGGAAGCATTTTAAAATTTAAACAGTTCAATGGTGTTTATTTTTCAGGTTTTTTAGGCATAACCTTTCAAATAAATTACATTTTTAGAGTTGATAATACAGATGAAGGAAATGCGTAGAAAATATTCACAAGGATGATAGTCAAAAATGTCATTAAGATTGGTTTGAAATATTTTCCCGGTTTCACTGGGTTGCATGTAAGCATGTTTAATAGTTTCATTAAGGTTACCAAAATTTAGGCTGGGATAGTTGAACTAACTAAAATTTGTTTTTGTTTTTGGTTTTTGTTTAAAATTTTTTTTTCTTTATTGATTTTAGAGAGAGAGGAAGGGAGAGGGAGAAACAGACAGAATCATCAAGAGAGACATCAATTAGCTGCCTCCTGTATGCCCTCCCACTGGGGATTTGGCCCACAACCTGTGCAGGTACCCTGACCAGCAATTGAACTGGCGACCTCTTGGTGCATGGGTCAGTGCTTAACCACTGAGCCACACTGGCCAGGCAGTCTGCTGTTTACTGCTGTGTGCACTTGAGAGGATTCTTCTCTGTGCCTCAGTTTCCTCTCCTGTGAAAGGAGCACTAACAGGGTTGTTATGAGGACTAAGTGAGGTCGGACCTGTAGAGCATTTGGAAAGGGGCCTGGCACTTAGAAAAGTGCTAAACAAACATTGCCCTTGATTTAAATGCTTTCTTTGATTTACTTTAATTTTTTAAACTTTATACTTGTATGGATTAATAAACATAAACTAAATAAGTTACTGAAAACTTCTCAACAGTTCTATGAATTAATGAGGAAACAAACCTGTTGTTGAACCCATGTGGTTTCAGAGTCTCTGCCTTTGTATTCACATTTGCCTAATGATTAAGCAGTAAATCTAAAGATTTTTATATTACACAGAGGAAGGTTAAGTATAATGATTTTACCTGGACGTATGAATTGAAAGATTATTTAAAAGTGCAGGACATACTATAATGTGTGAAGTACTATGATTGCCAATCATTTCTCATATTTTATAAACTATCCTGGCATGAGTGAACTGAAAAGAAGTGTTTATTATTTAATCACCCTGCTATACTCTCAGTATTAGGTCCACTTAGTTATAATTGGGGTAACTAGATGTTAAAATATAAGTTTATAGTATAGTAAAGTTGAAAATAAACAGGATTTTAAGGGAGAAGGAAAGAGGAAAGTTTTTTATTGCTTGAAAGTGTTTTCCGCCTGCTGTGTGTATCTGGTGTCATTTATTTGCCCTGTGTGGTGCTGAAAAGTGTCTTTCATGTACAGCTGCCTTGGCTGCCGAAGAGCTTGGCTTTGAGCAATTTCATGCATTAATTCAGTAAGTGATATAGGAACATGTAAAATACTTCCATTGTGGACAGATTGCCATTTTAAATCTGTTCATACTGGGAAAAGGTACTTAGATTTATATGCCTGAGAATTAATTTATTTTCAAATTAAAAAAAAATAATTTGTAAATGTGTACTTAAATTATTCAAATTTCCCAATTAACTATCAAAATACTTTGTGTCACATTAAAAGCTTTTTCATCATTACAGTGAAAAATAATATTAGCTTAATGTTTCCCTGTCCTAAGTGAGTATAAGGGTTTCTAGTAGAATAAATATTTGAATTATTATTTGTTTGTCAAAATATGCTTTCTATTATTTTCATTAAAGGGCCATGTTTCCATTAGAGCACGTAAACTGTTTATTTCAAAATAAATGGTAAGAATAGCTATGGTAATAGAATTTTAGGTAGTATTTGATTTGGAATAGAAATTTCTTTTAAAAGGAATCATAAATGTATAACTTACCCTTGGTTTTCAGATATTTGTTAAATAATTTTCAGGCTTTACATAGTCACATTTTGTTTGTTTGTTTTTTCTGTTAATTTCAACCAAAAATATTTTTCTACTGCTTTTTTACATACAGTGGAAGGAAAGGAGAGAGAGATCAATTGACTGCTTCCTGCAGGACCCTGAACAGTGCTGGGGTGGAACATGCAACCCAGGTATGTGCCCTCGACAGGGGATTGAACTTGCATCTCTTCAGTGTGAGGATGATGCTCTAACCACTGACCCACACCAGCCAGGGCTGGGAGTCTTTT